ATTCAAAATCCTGGCTACGGGCATGTATTCATAACCAATCGTACATGCGTTCTAACAGAGTGGACGTGCCGAACCCTCTGTACGAGGACAATCCATATGTGCAGCAGAAGGGAGGATGTGGAGTGGAAGGCGACTACATGCACCTCACCCCTAAATACGTGGTGGACAAGGATTATGGACAAATGACATGGGGTCCTTATGGTACGTAATTGAACACGGTGCTTATATTTTTTTTATATATATATTCCGAAACATGTAATCACAAGACGTGGTGACGGCACACTCAAGTTTTTTCAACTTGTATTAATGCCGCCACCAACACAGGGACAGTAAAATACTCATTTACACCTGAGCGAAGTGAGGAAAGTCGTGCAAAGTGCCTTTCCCAAGGGCACAATATCGGTGGCATGTCAGGACTCGAACCCGGGGCCTCTGGTTCCGAGTCGAGAACGCTGCCGCTACGCCACACGACCCCACCTCAATGCTTATATTTGCAGGAAATCATACCGCTAGAGTACCCAAAATTGACCTTCCATTTCCCAACCCCATCCTACCTACAAAATACCATTAAGATACATGTACAAATCAGCAACCCCTAGGTATTGTGTACTTAAACACATAACCTTCTGACGAAGGTAATTAATGTATTCTCCAGGCAAAACGTTCGTCCATGAATTCGGCCATCTCCGCTGGGGTCTGTTCGACGAGTACGGCTTCGATGATCCGTCGGGAGAGTCCTACCCGCACTTCTACCGCTCATCGACAGGGGGCGTCCTACCCACCCGCTGCTCAGCCAAAGTTGCCGGATACCACCAAAACATGGTGACGGGAGCACGCTGTCAGCTTAACCCCGAAACCGGAGTCTACGAGCCGGAGTGCCGTTTCTACCCGTATTTCTCTGACAACCAAGCAACTGGGTCTTACATGTTCATGCATTTTCTTGACAATGTAAGTTTCATAGTTTTGTAGCCATTTTACTTGTCCAATCAGACGAATACCAAAAACACATGTACAAAGGTCAGTCAATTTGCAGTCTGATGAGCAGTCTCCACGTGATTCATGGACTGGCAAAGAAGGGTTAACCCAACAATGCACTTACTTGTACTTGAGGTCTCCTCGAGTCAGTCGTTCGAGTGGCCTGCGCACAGAACTCGTCTCCTCCTCAACAGTCCCCTTTACTTCTTCCCATCTCTTGCTAATTCATTTAGCTCTTCCAGACCGGTACTAGGCCTCCCTATGATCAGCACATACAGCATCTTCCAGGACACAGATAATCCATGTTTTCCTAGGCCTTCCCCTTGAGCGTCGCCCATAATTCGGTTTCCAATCCAGTAAATACCTGGGCAGCCGCTCTTCAGGCATTCTTACAATGTGCCCAAACCACCTTAGCCTGTTGAGAGCTACGGTTGTGGCTATGTTCGCTAACTGTGCTTGCTGTAGTACATCATTGTTCCGTACCCGGTGATACCATCTGATGCGGAGGATACGGCGCAAACAGCGTTGATGAAACGTTTCAATTCCCGCCATGATGTTGCCTGGATTGAGAATATGTATTATGACTTATGTTTGCAGGTGAAAGGTTTCTGTCACAGTGACCCGGAAGGTGACCCGCTGTCCTACCACAACCGGGAGGCGCCCAACAAACAGAACGTCATGTGTCAAGGCCAGAGCACCTGGGACATCATGAACAAACATCAGGACTTCGCGAACGGCGCCAACCCTCCCAGGGCAGTCAACTCTACCGTACCGCGCTTCGTCCTGCTGCAGGAGAGCGACTTCGTCAGCATAGTTCTGGTGCTGGATGTGTCGGGAAGCATGCAGGTGACTATCCAAAAATAGCGTTGTGTCTAAGAGGAAGATGATAAAAGGTTAATTCATTTTGGATTTACTTTTATAAGAAATCATTCTGACGTCACGTCGATGAAGATTAGACATCCAGGCAATAAGATGCGCCAAGAAGCAATTACTCAAGCAACTGGATATGATTTTGGAAACGGTCAGACGTTTCAGCTAGTATCCAGCTTTCGTCAAGAAGAGAAATGCATCTCTTCTTGACTTGTCTGACTTTTGTTGACTTCCGAAATTCGTCTTCACTTTATTTGCATATCAATCAATAGTTTGTGCTTATAAACCTACACTTCTCATCTGGTCTCTCAGTCACTGACGAAAGCTAGTGGATACTACATGTAGCTGAAACGTCTGACCGTTTCCAAAATCATATCCAGTTGCTCGAGTGACTGCTTTTTGGCGTTCTGACGTAATCCTACCACAAATAGAAAAATTGATGTTTTCTACAGTGAAATCTAATTCACTTGCTGGCATTGATAGATATCATTTGAGGACTCTTTAAGGTATAACATTAAGATCGCAGTAGACAGATAGCCAACTGTGTAAGATTATAGTTTGTGGGATAGTTTAAAACGGACTATTTATTAGTAATATTGAAGTGTGTGCTTGACTTGACAACGTTCTTTTAGCAAACATACACCTTTTAGTGCTATGACACCCTGTTCTACCGAAAAAAACTTTAGGGTATATATTTTCACACAACCAAAGTGGACAAATTGGCCATACTACTGTAACAGTAATACATGAATAGGCAATATAAAGAAGTCTTCTATACCATTTCCTCGGTAAAACAACAAGAACAGTCAAATTTCGTCTCTTGAGCATCTTATCAACAAAAAGAACCTGTTTCAATTGCCATGGTGATGACCTAGCTATCTCAAATGTACACCAGGGTACAGTACAGTACAAGATTATGACTATCTTAACAATTGTAACCTGTGTTTGTCAGGGGGAACCGCTCCAGCGTCTGATCCAGGTATCAAGGAGGTTCATCCGCAGCACGGTGTCTTTAGGTACCTCGGTGGGCGTGGTCACCTTTGCGGTCGACGCTTCAATAGAACACCCGGTAGTGAGGTACGACCTGGCTTCCTCGAAAGGCAATTCAGATCTTGTGAGTGCGTGACTCGGAACTAAGAGTCCCGGGTTCGAGTCCTGACATGCCACCGATATTGTACCCTTGGGAAAGGCACTTTACACGACTTTCCTTACTTAGCTCAGGTGTACATGAGTATTGTTCTGTAATGTATTTGTCCTCTGTGTTGGTGGCGGCATTAATATAAGTTGAAGAAACTTGAGTGTGTCGTCACCACGTCTGGTGATTACATGTTGGAATATAAAAAATCTTGCTGGTTCATGCATTTGTAGTGCATTCTTCATAGAGGGCCTGTGCTAATCAAAATGCTTACCGATTCGAATGGCAATCACGTGTATGTTGACAACAGTGTGGGGGAGAACACCACGTTTTCTGTCTCCTGGCTGGACGGACAACGTCCCAGGGTAACTCTGGGGACCCCACATGGCCTTATGATCACCGAGGGAGACCCCCTGTATGACGTCACATCGGACACCATTACCATTGAGATACCCGGCATAGCAACGGTATAGGCATCTACGACGATTTTGCCGAATTAATGGAAAAACCTTAGCTTCAAACACAACAGATCTTTGTTTGCAACTGTATGTACATGTAAGCTTCTGTTTACTTCATCCATATTGGATTTTGAAAAAAAAAATAACGGCTCTTGGTCGCAAATGTGCTGATGTTGACACATTGGCGCAACAAATCCGTAGGGTGTTTTTTGGCACCCAGTTAGACAGATTAGCCTAAGAAGCTCGGTGGGCGTCACTCCACCGTATAGATGGGGAAGTCGTGTAAAGTGCCTTTCCCAAGGTCACAACGTCAGGCCACGGTGAGTATCGAACCAGGGACCTCTCGGTTCCGAGTCCAACGCTCTAGCCGTTGCGCCACCGACGCCACTCTAATATATTGGATTTGCCCACTGTATAATTTCAAAGCTGCTTATAGTGACTGTCTTTCCTGGAGAAGAAACACACAGTATAACAATAACAAACCACAAAATAGAAAATATTTATTTTTCAGTGTCACCTCTCAGGCAGTCCGTGATGGCTTGATTGCTTCACTTCCCACCAGTGCTACTGGGGGCACGTGCATTGGGTGTGGTCTTCAAAAAGGCGTCCAGGTAGGATGTTGAATTCAGGTTCTATATCTGGCTACATACGGTCAAGGTCAAGGTTTCCCGAAAGATCAATAGAATAAATAATAATAATAATAATAATAAATAAGTTATTGGCCAAACATCACCCGTGAAATCGCAGCCTTATAGTGCTGAATTGATGCAGGGTTTACAATCAGATGATACAAATGGTAGTAATACACGATAATACACATAATTCACGTGATACATATTTGTTCCACCCACATTTTTGTGGAACTGTCGCAAGGATCTTTTCGGCTGCCATTCGGCGCCACAAGGCGACCTCAATACGACTTTCCTCAACCGAAGTTAGGGTGGAGTAAGGAAAGTCGTGTTAAGTGCCTTTCCCAAGGGCAAAATGTCGGTCCAGGGTACGACTCGGGATCGAACCCGGGTTTCCACGGTTCACAGTCGAATGATCTACCACTACGCCACCCAACGCCACTCCTGGTTTCAAAGGGTATAAGAATGTGATCATTGGCCGTGGAAGTGGATACAGGTTTCCCCTTCAGTGTTTTTGATTATGTGTAGATGTTGATGAATCTGATGAATCAGAGAAGAATATGTCAATGAGAAAAAATGTCAATTAGCATACTAGTATTCACTTCCCAATGCCTGTCCCTTCATTTTGAAGGCACTCGAAGAAGTAGGGCCGTCTCAAGGAGGTATCCTTCTCCTTATCACTGATGGCGAGGAAAACCGAGACCCGAGGATCAGTGAAGTGATACCGGAGCTTGTCACGAAAAGCGTCATCGTCTCAAGCATCGCCTACAGCCAAGACGCCGACGCCATGCTGCAGACCCTATCGCTGCAGACAGGGGGCCTCTCGTTCTTCTCTGGGACTGACGAATCTACAGCCTTGGACAACGCTTTCACCACCACGTTCGAAGAAAAAGCTGGAACCAATGGAGTGAAGGTGAGTGTTACACACTTCCATGACGTCACTCACTACTCATTCACTGGGTCGAGCTTCCCTCGGTGCCAATGATAGCTCTCCATCTCTTCCTATCCTTCATTACTACCATCAGGTTTTTCCTGTCGAGCTGGGTGTCTTCTATTAATTTATTTATGTAGTTTCTTGCTGGACGACCACGACTTCTTTTTCCATGTGAGGGCTCCCACAGTATTAACTGGTTTATTATTTCATCCTCACTTCTGTAGCAGTGTCCGATGAACCTCAACCTTCGTTTCCTTATTGTTTAGCTCACTGTGGGTACTTTTTCGTATAGTACACTGTTTGGTACCTTTTGGCGTCAGGTGTCCTAAAGATCACATGTCGAAAGTTGTTGGCCCTAAGAACACGACGAAGGTTGTACTGGTGATAGCCGAAACTACACAAGACTTCTTTGTGATGTTGGAAAGCAGGTTAGCATTTTTCTATACAATTTTCTTTACAATTATACGTATACCACACTGTATACACCCATAGAATATTACATTTACTGCGATTAAAACAAAATTTATCATGATCCCATAGATCCTAAGTGAAGACAAGACCATCAGTAATCGGGAGACCTACAGCAACCACGTGTACGTTGACAACAGTGTGGGGGAGAACACCACGTTTTCTGTCTCCTGGCTGGACGGACAACGTCCCAGGGTAACTCTGGGGACCCCACATGGCCTTATGATCACCGAAGGAGACCCCCTGTATGACGTCACATCGGACACCATTACCATTGAGATACCTGGCATAGCAACGGTATAGGCATCTTCGACGATTTTACCGAATTAATGGAAAACCTTAGCTTCAAACACAACAGATCTTTGTTTGCGCCTTTATTTATACTCGATGATATATCATATGTACAATATATATCACAGCATTCAGCCATGACGGGTGCTTTCCGTGAGGGCCTTTGTTTGTACATGTAAGCTTCTGTTTACTTCGTCCATATTGGATTTACCCACTGTTTTTCAAAGAAATCTATTCTTACTCCTTGCATTTGATTTATACCTTCCAGCCAGGAAAGTGGGTCTACAACATCACCAACAATACCCCCAACGACCAGGACGTCACCGTCATAGTGACGTCCAACGCCGTCAACGACACCGTACCCATCAAAGTGACCGCACAGGTCAGCGCCGTGTCCCTTAACTACTCCTCCACTCAGCCGACGGCGCTGACGATCTTCGCGTCGGTACGAAAGGGGTACCTGCCTGTCATCGGGGCTGTCGTGAAGGCGTCCATTGAGAAGCCCGGTGGTGAGGTAGAGGAGATCATGCTGCTGGATAACGGTGCAGGTAAACACGTTCTATGCACCAGTTCTTTAATGAAACTGGTTTATGGTAGGAAAGAAGTATAACAAAAAGGAGGACATAATCCAGTGGTCACATGAGAACGATCATGACATCATGCAATGCTTACTGTCTGCATTGATGGACCACAGGCACACAATCTTTGAATTACACATTGTCATTGATTTTAAGGCACAAAACGTGACGTAAAATCCTTTTATTGTCTCTTTTTCTCATTTTTAGGTACTGACGTAACGACGAATGACGGCATCTACTCTAGATGCTTCTTCAACTTCTCCAAGGACGGACGTTACGGCGTTTCCGTTAAGGGAGACAACTCTCAGGGGGGTGCCGGGTACATCGTCATCAACCATGGACGTCGACGTGGCATGCGGAGTGGTGTGCTACCGCTGGACCCTGGTAAAAATTATACTGTCTTCAAAATCAAACAGTGGGGTCGTGTGGCAGAGTGCGCGACTCGGAACTTAGAGTTCCGGGTTCGAGTACTGACATGCCACCGATCTTATGCCCTTGGGAAAGGCACTTTATACGACTTTCCTCACTTATTAGCTCAGGTGAAAATGAGAATTGTACTGTCATGTATTTGTCCTTGTATTGGTGGTGGCATTAATATAAGTTGAAAAAACTTGAGTGTGTCGTCACCACGTCTGGTGATTACATGTTGGAATAAAAAAAAATCAAACAAAACGACCATAACTGACTAACTTGGCAATTATTGCAACATGTTAACAGTTTTAGTTTCTACTCCAATACATGTTCTGCTTGTTTCATTGCTGGGTATAAAATCATGCATATATGAATGATATTCTGATTAGAAATGAGAAACTCAAGATGACATAGCTTATTAACCTTAGGAATAGAGAATCATATAAAATGTATTATCGTTTGGTCCTTCCTCTGTAGCCTCTGGGTTTACCAGTGGGGACGACGTTCAGAAAGAACCGTTAGAGCCGTTCCAGAGGATGACAACAGGAGGCGTTTGTCAAGTACAGGGGATCCCCAGTGGTGGAATCTCTGGACAGGACATGCTGCCGCCGTCCCGGGTGGATGACCTCGTGGTGGTTGAAGTTTCCTACGCCAACGCTACCGTGACCCTGAGTTGGACAGCGCTCGGTGACGACTTCGATCAGGGAGGGCCAGGTATGTTGCGTCTGCTCTGCTTTATCTTATGAACCTATATTATATTACCTCATGCCTATAATCCATCTATTAGAAATAGAATTAAAAAATAGGATTTTTCCAATAGCCACCCACCCTGCTTACCAAAGAGGAAAAGGAATTCAATGTAATAGATTAATTAATGAAAGGAACGTAGAGCTGTGATCGAATCGATTCAGACACCAATTTAATACTTTTGCGTACTTTTTCCAGCCCACCATGTTGAGACCCGGTACAGCCGCCATTTTGACCAGCTTGCAGACGACTTCTACGGGCAAGCTTTGGTCAACCAGTCACAAGTGCTGCAGGGAAGTCTGACGTCACTTCCGGAACCCGGCTCCGCCATGACTATCGTCATCCTGGTGCCAGACCGAGGCCACAACGTCACGTTCGTCTTCGCCGTGCGCATGTGCGACGAAGCGGACAACTGCGGTGATCCCTCCAACATCGTGACGGCGAATCTCGAGTACATACCCGACCCCGAGCCTGTCTATACCAACGATACGCTCACCTGGGTCATTGTTGGCTCGGTGATTGGTGTGGTTGTTTTGGTCGCCGCAGCTTTGTTCATCTCCTGCAAATTCTGCAGGTCCAAGTCGGCAAAATCTGCCACGCAACCTTCCGCTAACGACAATCCTGCGTACAATCACACTGTGTAGCTCACTTTGTTTGATGTGCATTTCTACTTCTTGTAGAATGCACTACTTGTGTCACGTTGATTTTCTGTGCACATGAAGCTGAATGTTACTGGTATAAAACATCATGCTGTTTTCATGGCAGAAAAAGTTTCAACCATAGAATTTTATGACATAAAATAAAAAGTACTTGTCGTAGACTGAGAATAGTACTGTCTTATCTCCAATTAAAATAATCATAACATTACGCATACATGCCACTAAGAGGTGTCATTAGTAAGCTTTAGCACTATCATAAACATTTATGGTTATCGTTTGCTGATATTATCACAATATTGTCAACAGTCAACAACGTACATGTATCTGCATCAAGTTTGCCATGAATCATATTACATGTTACATGTACAAAAAACGCTCTATTTCAACTAATCTACGAACATTTTGAATCGAATGAATGAAAATTTTGGTTAGACAGAAAACGAAAATATACTACACACAGTGGAAAGTCTTGATTTCCTCTCTTACTCTAGTTCGTCTGTTCATGAAATGCAATCATATTTTTATATCCAATTTAATGATTTATGTGTCATTGTGCTTGCATGCTACGCTGCTTAGACAAATAAAATGGGAACTATGCACGAATTTGTCTGTCTTCTTAGTTTCCTGCAGCATTATTGGTTTAGGTTCTCCTTCCGTATTTGGATGTTCTGTAGACTCGGTCCACTGTGTAGGGAAGTAGCCAGCCAGATCTTGTCCACGTAGTCCTCAAAACTCGATCCGACCAAGAAGCGATGTGAGGGATTGGTCAGTAAGTAATACAAATGTTATATGGATGGATACATGTACTCCCGGGCAGCAAAATATCCACCCATAAGTATTGACTAAATCCACCGCCGTTAACATGTTTAAAGAGGTTCTCCTGTACTTTTACTGAGTTTCCGTGCTGCACAAGCTTTTTTATTTTCCTTATTTTAACCAAATTTACGGCACGGTACGTGCCGGCGGCTCGACATAAACAAACAAGATGGCGGACCCCGGGCGCACGGCGCGCCCTAAAAAATGGTAAAAACGTCGGAGTTGCCGTGTTTTTTACTCCGTGAAGGAGGTCAGGACCTCCGGACGGAGTGTTGTGATCGGCTGATTTTTCATGTTCGCAGTCGAAACACTGGGTTCTCTTTGTGTAATCAGCACGCAATTTTATACGCCGTCTGCGGGTATGCCCGTGTTGATGCACGAATGTGTATTTTTGTCGTTGCTGCTTTCGCGGTCAATGTAATATTGCAGACGCACCCCTACAATTACGAGGCGAATTGGAATGGTCCAGAAAAACGCGTTGTTTGGAATAGCAGTGGGGGGGTGGAACTTCATGCAGATACGGAGTGGTTTTGATAAGTGGTTCCAGATGTTTTTGCCCATGGTTAAGAGATGGCAAGTTTTTTGGGAGATGTTCGCAGCCAAAACGCATTCTTCCGTAAGTCGCATTTCTGTGTAATTTCGCATGTGGTGTGGCATTATGTCCGGGATGATGCACGTCTTTTTATTTTTACCGTAGCTGTTTTGATATTGGAGTAAATGCTTATTTTTGAAACATCCCCATGTCGTTAAAAATGTTTTCGTCCGTTTATGTGACCGGTAGTAATTAAGTCGCGGTCAGGCTGATGGAGACGGAAATGTGGGGTGGTCAGAGGTCAACATTACGAAATGTAAATACCGATGACGTAATCCTATCGATTTCGAACTGGTCGGCTGTGGCGACCTAGTGGCGGCGTGTATATAGTCACGTAGCAACTGGCCGGTCGTCCTAGCAACGAGCATGCTGGCCGCTTTTCTGTACACATGGGCAATATTTTTGGGTTGGGCCGCTCCATAGTGTTAGTGAAGCAGCTCTTTGTAAACATGGACAATATTTTTGAGCAACCCATCAATGTGTTCTGCCTCGTGGTCGGATGTGGTCTGGGGCTGGTAAACCGCAAATACTAGTAGATCGGGTAATTTTATGATTTGCTAGTTGTAAAGGCGTCTTGTAGTATGAGCCGGTATATGAAGAAGTAGCCTGTGTTACACAATCATGCTTTCGGCCGGAATGATGTGCAACTGTTACTAATTGCAGGGACTGCCGCTGCGCTAATGCCGACCAGTCGCGCTGTCCTTATACACCGCGAATGTTGGGCAATATGCGAGTGTTCCCTGTAGACAGTCCCGGGAGTAATTTTTTTCGCACATTCCAGGAGCCAAACCAAAATACGTTCATGAACCGAGTCCAAAAAACCGAAACGTGAAAATCGGATGATCGGACCTGATGTACATTTCTCTTTCTGTAGATTGATACACACAATACACACATCTTTAGATAATCTGGCCATGGCAGGTAAAAAAAAAGTAACCCTGAATCATACTAGATTAGCGTAAATGCATGTTTATGCGTTCAAAACAAGAAAAGAAATTGTTTCCCGGTATTAATCTCTCGAAACACGGCGCTGAATATTGACGCAAAAATATTTCGGGCATCGCGCGCCCTTCCCCGTTGTTTCTTGGCTTGGCTTCGTTGTTTAGACTGTATGCAAATCCCGCGTCACGTGTCGGCATTTCGCATCTCTGATTGGTTGTTGCGTCTTAAGATGACTGAGCCGACGCGCGTTTAAACAATTTTTCTTTGTTACTCCGTGAAGGAGGTCAGGACCTCCGGACGGAGTGTTGTAATCGGCTGATTTTTCATGTTCGCAGTCAAAACACTGGGTTCTCTTTGTGTAATCGGCACGCAATTTTATACGCCGTCTGCGGGCATGCCCGTGTTGATGCACGAATGTGTATTTTTGCCGTTGCTGCTTTCGCGGTCAATGTAATATCGCAGACGCACCCCTACAATTACGAGGCGAATTGGAATGGTCCAGAAAAACGCGTTGTTTGGAATAGCAGTGGGGTTCAAAAAAGTTCATGCAGATACGGGGTGGTTTTATAAGTGGTTCCAGATGTTTTTGCCCATGGTTAAGAGATGCCAAGTTTTGGAAGATGTTCGCAGCCAAAACGCATTCTTCCGTACGTCGCATTTCTGTGTAATTTCGCATGTGGTGTTGCATTATGTCCGGGATGATGCACGTCTTTTTATTTTTACCGTAGCTGTTTTGATATTGGAGTAAATGCTTATTTTCGAAACATCCCCATTTCTTTGAAATGGTTTCGTCCGTTTATGCAACTGTTACTGCGCTAATGACGACCAGTCGCGCTGTCCTGATACACCGCGAATGTGCGAGTGTTCCCTGTAGACAGTCCCGGGAGTCATTTTTTTGCACATTCCAGGAGCCAACCAAAATACGTTCATGAACCGAGTCCAAAAACCGAAACTTGAAAATCGGATGATCGGACCTGATGTACATTTCTCTTTCTATAGATTGTACACACAATACACACATCTTTAGATAATCTGGCCATGGCAGGTTAAAAAAAAAGTAACCCTGAATCATACTAGATTAGCGTAAATGCATGTTAATGCGTTCAAAACAAGAAAAAAATTGTTTCCGGGTATTAATCTCTTGAATCACGGCGCTGAATATTGACGCAAAAATATTTCGGGCATCGCGCGCCCTTCCCGCGTCACGTGTAGGCATCTCGCATCTCTGATCGGTTGTTGCGTCTTAAGATGACTGAGCCGACGCGCGTTTAAACAATTTTTCTTTGTTCGATTTATCACACTTCACAGAGAATTGTCGCCAATGGCTACTTCTTTTTGTTGCAATATATAATACTTCACGGAGAATTGTCGCCTATGGCTTCTTGTTCGATTTATCACACTTCACAGAGAATTGTCGCCAATGGCTACTTCTTTTTGTTGCAATATATAATACTTCACGGAGAATTGTCACCTATGGCTTCTTGTTCTATTTATAATTGCATAGACAAGGTATCAAAAGTGTTAAGGGTTCGTAACCCATGTAGACTCCATTTTTGATCAGGAAGCGGTCGATCGAGGCCGGAATAGGTATTTAGTCATACCGATAACGGTTTGTTGTGGTATACGGACTTTAGTAACTTTAACGCTTAGAAATTGAGGTGACCAAATGGTGGCACGTTAGAGTGGGTAAATACTCAACGAGCAATTTAGATGTTTGTTCTAGAAAGGTATGGGTGCCATAGTGTCTCCTAAAAGCAAACACGGTTTGTACTTTAAACAAATGGTCGTATGACACCGTATGAGCACGTACAGTACAGGCGTACGCTACAGCTACAAATATGAATCAAACTTTGGGAGTTAGTGCTGATACGTTTGCATATTTTTAATCTACTTCCCATTGAGGGGTTCTGTGGACTCTAACAAAGAGACAAGATCACCCAAATAATCTCCTACGTTTTGAACGAAGCCAACAAATGTTATAACGTTAGAAATGACTCGAAAAAGTCTAATTCTCTAATAGCTCTACTGTCTTGTGATATACGGAAACAAGCCAGAGACAACAGGTATTTTAAAGTAAATGGATGGATTCTGCACGCTTGAAAGGTAGCTATAATAGCAAACACATTAAAAACGATAACATTGTTGACTAGAGATAAGAAGCAGGATCTCGTTTCTGGACAGTAATGAAAAAAATATCATCGCTATCATGGCGAATGTGAGAAGTTCACATCTGCAGCGTACAAACACGTGCATGACGATATTTAATGCCTGGAGCAGTCGGCTGTGCCCCAGAGTTTGGACCATGTAACAAGATGGCGGTACTCTGGGTCATCTTACACCTGATGTTGGTGTTGAGCGATGGGATCGCGTCAGGAGAGGAAGGTATGTGGATTGGTGCCTCATCGTTGCTATCTACCTTACCGTCTATCGGATGCAAAACTTGTACTCATTTAAAGTTATTACACTATATAGCCATTTAAGGATGGTAGCCGAAAAGTGCAATGGCATTCATTACAAAATGTACTGCAAACTTTTGCAAAACTTGTATTCAGTGAGCGTTATTACACTATATAGCCATTATAGGATGGTAGCCGATTAATACATTGGAATTCATTACAAAACAAACTGAAAGCTTTTTCAAAACTTGTATTCAGTGAGCGTTATTACACTATATAGCCATTATAGGATGGTAGCCGATTAATACATTGGAATTCATTACAAAACAAACTGTTAACTTTTTGCAAAACTTGTATTCAGTGAGCGTTATTACACTATATAGCCATTTAAGGATGGTAGCCGACTAGTACAATGGAATTCATTACAAAACAAACTGCAAACTTTTGCAAAACCTGCATTCAGTGAGCGTTATTACACTATATAGCCATTTAAGGATGGTAGCCGACTAGTACAATGGAATTCATTACAAAACAAACTGCAAACTTTTGCAAAACCTGTATTCAGTGAGCGTTATTACACTATATAGCCATTTAAGGATGGTAGCCGACTAGTACAATGGAATTCATTACAAAACAAACTGCAAACTTTTGCAAAACCTGTATTCAGTGAGCGTTATTACACTATATAGCCATTTAAGGATGGTAGCCGACTAGTACAATGGAATTCATTACAAAACGAACTGTTAACTTTTTGCAAAACTTGTATTCAGTGAGCGTTATTACACTATATAGCCATTTAAGGATGGTAGCCGACTAGTACAATGGAATTCATTACAAAACGAACTCCAAACTTTTGCAAAACTTGTATTCAGTGAGCGTTATTACACTATATAGCCATGTAAGGATGGTAGCCGATTAATACAATGGAATTCATTAGCAAAACGAACTGCAAACTTTTGCAAAACTTGTATTCAGTGAGCGTTATTACACTATATAGCTATTATAGGATGGTAGCCGATCAGTACAATGGAATTCATTAGCAAAACGAACTGCAAACTTTTGCAAAACCTGTATTCAGTGAACGTTATTACACTATATAGCCATTTAAGGATGGTAGCCGACTAGTACAATGGAATTCATTACAGAACGAACTGCAAACTTTTGCAAAACTTGTATTCAGTGAGCGTTATTACACTATATAGCCATTTAAGGATGGTAGCCGATTATTACAATGGAATTCATTACAAAACAAACTGCAAGCTTTTGCAAAACTTGTATTCAGTGAACGTTATTACACTATATAGCCAATATCGGTTGGTAGTCGATTAGTGCAATGGAATTCATTACAAACTGAATCGATCACAAACTTTTCAGTGGAACCAGACTGCTAGACAAACTGACGTCATTACAGAGTCAATAACTAATTCGGTCCAATATTATTACAACTTAGCAACGGCACGGGTATAAGTAGCTATATATACCTACCTACCTACCCACTTACACATGTAACGTTACATACTATGCCTACCTAGTCCCCATCAGGGGAAAGGTTCTGAATGTGTGACATATTACATAAAGACAATGGAAATAACAGCTATGAACCAAATTACATCTTGAACACAAGAATACTGCATGTACTTTGATCAACAAGTCTGGTTTTCTGGTGATGAAGGAAATCCTTTAGAGCTTTTTCTTAACAGTGTACTAGCTTGTATGATGCTAGCAAATACATTTTGTGATTCGGAAAATGTATGTTTTGAATATGTTGGTTATCAAAATATTTCAACACAGCCAAGGACGATGGGGAAAACAGGGAGAGCCGTTGGTACAACACCACAACACCAGCGTACAATTACACTACTTGGGGTAAGTAAAGAAGTGCTATCTCTGAACGCAGTTTTTTAACTGGTATACGATCTGGTTTAATTCATATCAATATTGAACCTGGAAACTGACTGAACTAAATGTGCATATACTGAACTAATGTGCATATACTGAACTAAATGTGCATATTCTGCGACCACTTTGTTCATGTTTGTAACATTATTTGTATATGATTGTGTTGTAGTTTTTATGAATGTATTTTTTATGTGTGTGCCCTGGGATATCTGAAAACAGATCCACGAATCTGACATATGCCCTGGTAAAATAAATAAACTTGAAACTTGATAGACAGTGATAGATTGTAGATTTTTTTCAACATTTCAGCATTTACAGAACAATACATAGTCACTGTGGTGACGCACTTTAACGAAATACGTGTAGCTTAATATATTAACGCCGCCACTGAACATAGAATAACAATTACAACATGAGACAGAAGACAGCATATCTAGATAGAAAGTAACAGTTATAATACTTCTATCCTGCGAAGTTGTGAACACTTTGTTTTAATTATTTATGTTCGTAGACCCGTTAGGCTGCTACTGGTCGGACTACTTCCAGTGCTATGACGGCCGGTGCATACACCGATCCCGGGTCTGCGACGGCCATCGGGACTGTTCATCCGGCGAAGACGAGTATTACTGCTACTATGCTTTGTCAACACTGCGTAAGTCACATTTGCCTGGATGATATGGGCCATTGTTATTTGGTTTTACCTTCATTCACCACGTTTGCGACAAATAGTGCAGAATATTGTGTAGAAGCCTCACATTGTAATCTAATAGCCTACCACGTTGTTAGGCAAAGATGACATTACGCACGGCCTGGAGAATAGTACAGTATTTGGGCCATCACAAGACGGCATTAAGTTTGTCGTGTGACCTGTTTAAATGTTTAATAGCATTTGCTGCTACTAGTATTACTACTTGACAAATCTATATGTTCTATTTTCAACACATCGTCAGCACCAACTGACGAGACTACAGACTGGGGATCGTGGGATACAACACCACCAGGTAAGCTGGTCAAACAAACAGTGATGTAATAGACTATATTTGAATTAGACTATGAAGTGTACGAGTATGTGTTGTTGAAAACAGATGGGCCATGGACAAATTTTCTCAGACATGCCATTTTTTCAAACCTTCTTCTACAATGACAATGGCAATGACAGAGGTAGCATCTCTAGAGGAACGAACATCCCCATGGTAGGATTGGATGCTATGGAGCTATCCGTATATTGCCACACTGAGAAAGCCTATAAGTGTCACATGCAAAATGTGCCATGACAAGAAACCTTCTAAATTTCATTGTAGTTATTTGCTTAAGCATACCATTTCTGTGTTCGTAATGATCATATGACGCAATGAAGTCGCTCTGAAAGGTGTCTTAATCCATGGAAAACTAAAAGAATGTTGCTGTTGCATTTTCAAGGGGCGAAGGAAACCAACGCTTCCTGTGACTTCGACCATGGCGACTGCGGCTACAGCAAACAGTCGTCAGGCATCCAGTGGATACGGCACAGCGGTTCCACCCCTTCTTCTTCAACTGGCCCAAGTGGGGACTACACGACCGGACATGGTATGGGTATGGGCTTATTTCAGAATGCGTTTTAGTTTGCTTTCTTGACCTCAGGCATGTTCCTAATAATCTACCACTCTCCTATTGTTTCATGTGCTGTTTTAAAATATTTGCTTGAACGAATTAGACTCCAACCTGTACTACCTCTGCATGAAGACCATTGTGGGTCAGGTTTTGATTGTCCCTTCATTATATTATTTTCCCATTTGGCCAAACATTAAGATTAATAAGAATGTGGTCTATAAGGACCACCTGTCTACTGTGACCAGAATTTTCGTCAAGTCGCTTAGGTGGTCAGTTGAAACCAAAGTCTTGCAAGTTTAGGCAAGCTAGGAAAATAAATGTATATTTAATAATTTAATAAATTTTTATTTATATGAATTGAACAATCTTCATCTACAGGATACTACATGTATATCGAGACTTCCTCAGGTGGGTCGGGAGAGGTAGCTCGTCTTCGCAGCCCAACCGTCTACGGCTATGATTGGTACTGTCTGCAGTTCGCCTACCACATGTACGGGACTGACATCAATCAGCTGCGGGTACTGATCGGGTCAAACCTCGTGTGGAGCCGGTCAAACAACCAGGGAAATAGCTGGCATCTCGCTTCCGTGCAAGTCTACATACACAATGATCAGGTTTGGACACCACGTTATCAACAGGATAAATTTTGCATGCTAGCGTATAAGATAAACTTATCTGATCTTTTAACGCCATAATGTTGTGCGCAGGTCGTGTTTGAGGGTGTTCGTGGTGGCAGCTATAGAGGGGACATCGCCATTGACGACGTTATCCTGAACCCTGGACCTTGCCCGTGGACAGGTTGGTAAAGATTTTACACTCACAACATTAGCACGTGTGCGTAGCTATCAAAGTGTAGAATGGCCATATCTAATTACTGTTTGTGAAATGAGAATATGCATTTTGGTAATTAGACTCTTCCCTGAAACCCTAGGTTTACAAAAGTCACAACAACATTGTTCAGAATCTGAGAACTCAGTACAAGAGACCACTTCCTATTAGACATTATCAATGACTTTTTATTTTACATTCAGACAGTCCACACAGTACAGATTTCATCACCGAAGAACCGACCGCAGCTCCTACCACTTGGTGGTGGACCACGGCCTGGAACAACTGGATGACGCCAGCTGACCATACTGACTATTATTACAGTAAGTGTGATAGTTTTACAAAAAACTTCCAAATTACAAGCTTCGGTGGTCACGATATATTTCTTTCTAAAATCATCCTAGCTAATTCCAAACAATGTTTCGTTAAGAATATTCATTATTAATGGCTAATTATGTCAAACCCTTCTGACATATTTTCAGACATAGGTTTGGACAATTACCCTTTATTAATTATTATGTAGCTTTTTTATTATGGAAGTCATTTTGTACTATGTTTCAATGTTCTTTTATCCTTGTTACTCCGTGAAGGAGGTCAGGACCTCCGGACGGAGTGTTGTAATCGGCTGATTTTTCATGTTCGCAGTCAAAACACTGGGTTCTCTTTGTGTAATCGGCACGCAATTTTATACGCCGTCTGCGGGCATGCCCGTGTTGATGCACGAATGTGTATTTTTGCCGTTGCTGCTTTCGCGGTCAATGTAATATCGCAGACGCACCCCTACAATTACGAGGCGAATTGGAATGGTCCAGAAAAACGCGTTGTTTGGAATAGCAGTCATGCAAAAAAAGTTCATGCAGATACGGGGTGGTTTTTATAAGTGGTTCCAGATGTTTTTGCCCATGGTTAAGAGATGCCAAGTTTTTTGGAAGATGTTCGCAGCCAAAACGCATTCTTCCGTACGTCGCATTTCTGTGTAATTTCGCATGTGGTGTTGCATTATGTCCGGGATGATGCACGTCTTTTTATTTTTACCGTAGCTGTTTTGATATTGGAGTAAATGCATATTTTAGAAACATCCCTACTTTTACAATCCTGTGGAATAGGCCGTAGGTTTAGGCAGTTGTCTGGTAGCAGAGGTACTCATAAGCAGATATCCTGGTTATCTGGCCGCCGGTAGTAACACTCGCGGTGCTTACCGCAACTGTTGCTGGAATTCCAGGCGCGCTTAATTAGGTACAGGCACGGTAAGACGGTTGGGCCTGTCTTTGTTACTAGACACGACCATGATAGTCCGATCTTTATATGAATGCAATGATTGTGTGTGTGTAATTAAAATGAACTTCGAACTTGAAGCACAGTATCTTTACACGCCCTGGGAGCAGTAATGGTAGTAGAATGGTTTATTATGACATGTCGCCATCTATATCACAACAGTGGCAGCCCGCAGGCTGAATTGATGATGTGATATTACACAGATTGACTGCACAAGAGCATTATATACATAACCTAAAATCGAGAGTCATTACATACACAACGATCGAAACAATTATAAAATAAGTATACATTAAAATCGGATAAAAATACATGTTATTTATCATATAGGGCAATATAAAAACAATTAAAATGGAATTACGTATTCAGTAAACGAACCATGTGCGGTACAGCACTCATTCTATAACGTTCGGTTCGACACTTGAGAATGTCCAGATTACCAGCAGAACGAGTCTGTCGGCAAGTAATGTTCATCTTGTAGGCGGTAGTAGGTGGCGGTATTGTTCAGACACAAGGAGTGATTTCGCAAACTTTAAAGTCAAGTTCGATCGTCTGGAGTGCAGAGATGGCAAACCGAGGTGTAAGCATGCTTCGGAGTAACGGGTGTAGTCATGTCCCATAATGATGCGGACCGCCCTACGCTGGATTCTCTCAATCTTATTGTTCAGCAGTGTTGTTAATCCCGGGTGCCCGACAGGGGCTGCGTACTCGGTAATGGGTCTTATGTAAGAAATGTACACAGTGACAAGGTCATCCTTTGCGATATGGAAATGCTTCAGTCTACGTAACAGGAAAAGTCGCTGACTAGCTTTGTTGTAGACGAAGTTGACAATGGATTTAGCTCTTTGTATGTTTTATGCTTGTGACGCGCCCTCATTGTATTAACCGTTGCCTAATTATAATGTCTGCACAGTAGGTCTGGCGTTGACGCTTGGGATTTTGTTGAAATATATAAAACTTCACGGAGGATTGTCACCTATGGCTTCTTGTTTTTTTTTGCAGTTAGCCTACGGGCAGGGATTTGCAATAAACCTATTATTAAAAAAGGTGATTTTGGATTGGTAACCCATCGATTCCTCTGCGTACATAAACTTCACTCCCCATGCCATACTGTACAGACTTCCATGTCCGACTAAGGGGCGGAGACGGCTACAGCTACGGCAGAGTGGAGGTCTACTACAACGGACAGTGGGGGACTGTCTGTCACGACGGCTTCGGGTGGAACGAGGCCAACGTGGTCTGCCACGAGCTGGGATTCGACCAGGTCGACACGTACTACCGCAACGCGTACTACGGACAGGGTAGCGGACCGATATGGATGGACGACCTGAACTGTTACGGGTCTGAGAGCTCCCTGCAGTACTGCCCACATCGCGGCTGGGGGAACCACAACTGTAACCATGGGGACGACGTCTCAGTCTCATGTATCGGTAGGTTTATTCTCCAAGCAGATTTTTCAGTGGCCGCAAAAGACGGTATCGAATTGGCCAGGCAGTATCCATTAACCAGACAGTATCCATTGGCTCCTGTGGCCAATGGACACTCCTCTGGCCAATGGATACTGCCTTGCCACCATACTGCCAGCCTTTAGGTAATCTAAAAAACAGATTCCCGTTTTTTTTTTCAAAGAAATGCATATCATCATAGTCTTGGTCACTATAAGTACTCATTTTATTGGATTTTTAACACCTCACAAGATATTTGGTGAAATTCAAAGTTGATACAGTGAAAGTAAATTGTCAAAGACGAAACATAAGACACACACACGCTTTACATAATTGTAAGATTACTTTATTCATTTTTTTTATTTTCTATCATTTTTATACAGGTTGACCCATATTTCAGTGATGGCACTGCTTTTCAATGGGGCCCTGTATACAGTTCACCTGTTACATGTTGTTTATATAGCTTCTACAACTACTAAAATTTTACCTGTTGTTTATATAGCTTCTACAACTACTAAAAATTTTACCTGTTGTTTATATAGCTTCAACAACTACTAAAAATTTTACCTGTTGTTTATATAGCTTCTACAACTACTAAAAAATTTACCTGTTGTTTATATAGCTTCTACAACTACTAAAAATTTTACCTGTTGTTTATATAGCTTCTACAACTACTAAAAATTTTACCTGTTGTTTATATAGCTTCTACAACTACTAAAAATTTTACCTGTTGTTTATATAGCTTCTACAACTACTAAAAATTTTACCTGTTGTTTATATAGCTTCTACAACTACTGACAAGCCCTGGTGGTGGACAACTACTGACAAACCCTGGTGGTGGACAACCATGAACTGGTGGAAGACAGAGGGTTTGTGGAAAACTAGCTAATTTGTTGAAATAGCTTCTGTTTTTATGTATAAATAACTTATGTTCTGATAAATGTGTCTAACGTTAAGTATTTGACTGATTGGTCTCAACCTCCACAGTGTTCATTTTTTATGATACTGGGTAAGAATGTCAGGAATATGCCCTTTCATAAACCTAGCTTATGTAAACAATGCAGTTCTGAACCTTGTTTTATTTATGTGTGCCACTTACATGTATATCACATCGTCAGTAACTACTGTAAGTGTTCCTGGCGGGTGGAGGTGGACAACGGACTGGAAATGGTGGGAGACAACGCAAGGTAAGGCTGGACTTTTGTCTAACTAGTCATAAGTCTGTATCTGTATAGCCGGTATAACCGCCCTTCGGCGTAACACATCTCGATTGGCTTCACAGGTACAGGACGCGGCGGCATCTGGCTGTATTGCATCGAACTAGCTATCACATTTGCACATCTAACTGTGGGATGCCCCTTCTGTATTGGTGGCAGCGAGGTCCACTCCACGATAGTTCTTGAGGAAACCGATTTTTTAACGCATCAGTCCTTGCTTTGCAACTCTGGTACTTGAAGGCATGAATATACACCGGAGGGTGAGGTGCAATACTGTATAACATTATGATCATCTGTCGAAACAGTTCATGGTTAAGTGCGGTAATCATGTCAAACACTGTTTTACAGATCCGTTGACGACAGATGTGGAAATCACTACAGAGGAACCAACCCCCGGCTGGTGGGAACAAACCACAAATTACTGGGACTGGTGGCAAACTACACCAGGTGATGATGATATTAGTACTAAAAAAGGAACATATGTATCATTGGTTCATTCAATGATATATATCATTGAATAAACCAATGATATATATATGTTCCTTTTTAGTACTAATATCATCATCGTTATCACTATTGTTGAAACGTCTCTTTTTGTCACGTCTAGCGAACTTTCGTATTCGACTGGTGTATTTTTCATTCCTAAGCAGGACCCGACGCCGTTCCATGTGGCGGACAGTTCTACCAATCTTCCGGCATCATCGAGAGTCCACACTACCCAAACAGCTATTTTAACAACGCCAACTGTCATTGGATCCTCACCGGGTACATCGGAACTATTGTGGAAATCGGAGTGGAGCGTTACAACCTGGAATCTTGCTGCGACCACCTGAGCATTTACGATGGTCGATCCACCAGTTCGCCCAGACTTGCTCGGTATGTTCCATGTTGTAATCGTATTATATGCTGTATTTTCCTAGGACGAATGGCAAATTAAAATACCCACTAAATACAGCACTGCTGGATTTAGAAGAATCAAAATTACCAACCACATCCACCAACCAACGTCAAGGGACTGATCCTGACAAGTGAATCTGTAGTCTCTGACTCACACATTACCCAACCCTTATATCACATGAAGAGGAATATTTATTATCAAATCTTGTTAACCATGTACAATGTTAAGAGATAGGGGAATTTTTTTTACACAACCAAGGAGTCTCACCTCGCTGACGTTTCGGTGTCTGTCAGACACCGAAACGTCAGCGAGGTGAGACTCTTTGGTTGTGTAAAAAGAATTCCCCTATCTCTTAAGTTTTACCAACCTGATGAAACTATTTTCGCATGTACAATGTTGTTATTTGATTACAGTCTTAGTGGAACAGGATCCTCGAGGTACTACTACAGCTCATCCAATGAAGTTATGATCCACTTCACAAGCGATGGAAGTGTGGTAGACAACGGCTTCAGGATTAGATTTTATCGTGAGTGGGGAACATTCATTAAGCTTGTTCTTTATACATTAAGGCAGCGGTTCTTTATAAACATTTAGACACAGTAAAATCGATATCGGTGTTCAAATGCACTTCTTTTGGATTTGAATCCGACTGAATTTATTCGACAAGTACAAGTAACGTTATCGCATATACAGACGATGTATTATAAACCAGAGCCTTTGTAAATTTTCCCTGTCTTTTGTACAGTGCACTCTACTGCGGAACCGTATAGCGTAACAGACAACTACTGGCGCACCGAAGAACCAACCACGGCTCCCGACACTTGGTGGTGGACCACGGCCTGGAACAACTGGTGGACGACTTACTACAGTAAGTAAGCACATTATTCCGTAGGTATATATATATATATATATATATATATATATATTACGTCACAGGGGAGATTGGAATCCAGGGGGATCAGGAATCTCCCCTAGGGGAGACTGGAACTCAAGTTTTTCTTCTACAAAACTGGGATCTGAGTATCTGAATTCCAATCTCTTCTCAGAGGAGGATTCCAGATTCTCCTAGGAGAGATAGGAATTCCAATTTGTCCTAGGACAAGTGGAATTCTTACAGGACAATCTCCAATTTTTAAAGGAGAAATTCTGCTTGCAGCAAAATCCTTGGGAAAATAGACTGAGTTATTTCACAACTAAACTTTCAGCATACGTAAGTGAATATGTAGATCCGACTCAGATATTTGCATCAGGCCATTGTGAGATCGTGACTCAAAAACCAGTTTTTCCAGTTTGTTAGTGACTTGGCATATGTTTCCCCCTACCGAGCCATGGTTTGTAAGAATATTGTTGTTTCCTTCATTTTGCCAATTTATTTTCACATTATTTTGCCAATTGGAAATAGATTTGGGTCTCAGTTAGGAAAGATTGCAATTATGGACTTAGAACTGCAAATTATGCCAGGACAAATTTTGATTCCAATGTAGTAATTCACCTACAATAGTAATAGGCTTGTCTATGCTGAAATTAATTGAAACTTTAGGTGTGAAATGATTCAATCTATGAGTTCTAGTATTTTTACTACTAAATTGGGATCTGAATATCAGGATTCCAATCTCTCCTAGGAGGATTCCAGTCTCCCCTAGGAGGATTCCAGATTCTCCTCCTAGGGGAGATAGGGATTCCAATCTCCCCTAGGAGGATTCTGGATCCCCCTGGATTCCAA